TTAGTCACGACCAAGAGCAAGCTGTCACGATTTTTATGCTATTGCAAGAGATAATGCAAGCCGAAGACAATATCAGCCTTTAACAAGCCTGAAAAAAAAAAAAAAAAAAAAAAACTAACGCTTTGTGAAACTGTGTATCTTAAAATAATGTTAAGAACACGAAAACGCCGACTCCTGTCATGGAACGGGAAGTACACCATTTCAGTAACCGACCAAGAATCACACTTAAAAACTCAGGCCTCCCAAACAGTCACGGCGCATAACCACGAAACCTCAAAAACACGACCAGGCCACTGTACACAATGGCAAGATGCCCGTCTCAACTCGCTAGGCAACCCCTGATTATATACCACATCTGCAAACACCAAAAGTACCGCAGATCGGCAATAAATGCCCGAAGGTATTATAACAGTCTCTTGTGTAGTGAAATATTGGTGTCAACGTCACACATGGTTGTATAACCATAATTGTGAAACCAAAGATTTGGTTCCAGTGGGTCTTCACGATGCAGACACTTTCATAGCAAAGAAGCAAATTTTCTCTGAAGTTTCACTAAATTGCTCACTTAAACCAAGGTAAAACAGACAAAAATTTGTCGAAAAAAATAAGGATAAAATGATGTCAATATATCAATTTTGGAACAAAATGTTTTTCCCATTTGGATTTCATATTTAAATTCAATAGTTCACTATGAGAGAATCTTTTCTACTTTTGGCGGTATTATGGCAAATCCATTTGCAGAGCATTTCATGGTGGGAAGTAGGTCAAAGGTCCAATCAAAGATCACATTGAGATTCTCAATATATGCTTTTTTCTCAAGTTCATTACTTTCTCAAGTAAATTAACACAACTGTGAATCTTTGCTGGTTTCAGAGATATAACGGGCGAGACATTTGGTAAATCTTACTACACCTGTCGGGAAAATGACGGCCACCTTGGATTTTCTCAAAATTCCTAAGGATGTACACAGATACTATCACAATATTATGGGGCAAACTGAGAAACAGACCAAATTTGGTAATGAAAGCTCTGTCATGGCTGCTGCTCGTGAAATTATACATATTGAACTTAGTAGCTGAAAGAATACGGCTCGAAGTTTTACTAAAGAAAAAAAAAAATGTCCCATTTGACTTTGAAATATATTCCAATTAACAAATCAAAGGTCTTAGACCCAAGTTTGAAGAAATTAATTAAAATAATTCACACAATAATAATAATAATAATAATAATAATAATAGAGGAGGAAAAGCTTGTATGACGAATGGAGTAAAGGAAGACAACACCTTTTTGGAACTAAATATAGCCATTTCACTTTTATTGTGTTTTAATTCATTTTTTTCTGCATATCAACCCTATACAATAAAATACTATACACACCATAGAAGAGAACATAAAGAACACAACACCAATGTACATAAAGTACCAGACTTTGGACAATGTTACATATTAGTGTTACTTTACATTGCTATGTTCATTTGCCTCAAAAATACCAAGAAAGCAAAGATCTTGACATTCTTCCTATAATTATTCATGGCAATTATCTGGGAGTCGATAACTTGACAATAATACAAAATATTTGTTTATTATTACAAAATGTAATTTGCCAAAGATGGTTAATATTAAATGCTTAGTACACTATGTCATCTTATATTTAACAGTAAAGACTTAAACAAAGCACCTTTAGATAGAAACAGAGAGAGTCATTTGCTACGTAAGTATAATTTGCGTTCAACACTGAGCAATACATACATTGCAGTGGACACAGTACTGGCAATGGATAACACTCAAAATTTTCTCCTTGCCAAAACCTCACACAAATAATTTCAATAAAGAGGAAAAAAATTGGATTTCATTTACTGCAAGAGAGAGGGGGAGAGAAAGAGAAAGAGAGACCCATTTACATATGTGACACAAAATAGAAATCAACCGAGATAGCCTAAAATGGGGCGGTGGTCCTGTCCTGTGGATGAATCATGTCAGCTGAGATCAGCTGTTACACTGCATGCTATTCTGCCATTTTAACTGCTCCCACTCTCATCCAAAGTACTCTAAATCTTGCTCGACTTCACACAAAGCTGTGAGACTATGGGCTATCTTGGGTGATTCCAATTACAATTTATAGCATCAACTTCTCAATTTACTTTTCCATCATTTTCTTATTCTACAAAGAAACAACAAGCTACTACAAAAGATCTCTATTTTCATCTAACAGAAAAAAGAGAGAGCAAGAGAGAACATTCACAGCACTAACTTAGGCTTTCCTAGCCATCCTTTTTTTCTGCTCCGAATAATAAACAGAATAAGTACTCAACAACTCGCTAATTGTTTACCTTTAAATCCCTCAAGTAAGCAGTCAAGTTTTTATGGTCCTAGGTGCCGGTCAGCTGAATATTAATCCACAGTAGTCTCTTAAAATAAGTATTACTCCGAAACTGAAACTATTTATTTCTTGATCAGAGGTTTCCTCAAGATTTAAGGTACAGGGAGTCCAAAATGTGAATTTGTAGCTGGGTCTTTTATTTACACGTTTATTCCAAACCCAAGCAAGCCCAACTTACCAACCAACCCAAAAAGTTTGTGAGCCACCCAGCTGTCTTTGGAAATAAAAGTAGTCTTTGAAGGCCTAATAACTGTCCAAATGGTTTAAATGTTTAGACCAATTTTACAAACTAAAGTTATTTAGCAAAACCTGCTCCTGGGCAGTACCATATTATATTACCAGCCATGAATGTACCATGAATGTTCCACCAACAAGGGTTACTATTATCATATAACATAAAGCTAGATACATGCTTAAGATAAACCTCACAATCTTCTTCTTATGTGGCAATGAAAAATAATTTACACGTCCATGATTGCACGTAAGTTCTTCTTCATCTTCTCCTTGGCAATGTTTTGTCATATAAAGAGCAACTTTGGCCAACGCTAGTAGGTGGCTTTAGGCATAACTATACAGTTGATAGTATTTCTAAAATGTGGTTTTTTATTCAAAATTTGTTTAATTGTCATTATTTCTAAACTTTTTCTATCCCCTCCTTTTGGGAGTGGGGGTTGGGGATGGTAAAATGTCTTCAGCAATTGTAACTCACATTACAACTGACATTTTGTTGTAAGAAGAAATATTCAAAATGCAGAATTTACATTCCTCCATCATATTTTGATCTGTAATAACTGGTATGTCTTCCAAAAATTTTTATCAATAATTTCTTTTCTTTCATCCTTAGTTCTGAATGCCCTCACAGTAACCCTTATGCAGCTTTTCCATCAACTGTAATGTATGCCTGTTGTTCTGCACATTCAGGGGCACGGCAGCTTACTGCAGTCACAGTTTTGACATCTTTTAGAAAAACAAAACATCTTCAGTTCTTTTCACTTAACAGCAGCCACCGCCTTGGTTTCCACCACTGCCTCCAGATGGCGCTCCACTCGGACTTGATGGGGAATGCTGGGGTCCTAGCTTGATACCATTACTCTGGATTAAAAATGATAGGAAGTAGGGTAAATTAACTGCTGTATTCCTGCAAATGACCTTGACATTTCTTACAAACAACCTTGACATTTTCTGCAAACGGCCTTGACATTTTCTAAAAATGACCTTAACATTTCTTCATTTCGTGTGCAGATGTCACTGAAAAATGATGATGCAACCCCACAGGGGAGAAGGAAGAGCAGATCACAGTGATGACATCCACATAAATCTTGTCAGTGATGAGGCAAAGTTGCCCAAAGTAAAATTGTACCAAGGCTGCTGAAAAACAGATTTAGAAAGTGCAGGTTGCAACCAAGGCATGAATTTTCCAATATTTTCCATTTTTTTGAAGAGATAAGCTGATCATGTTTGCTAATCCTCAACAACATCCGCCATCTTGTTTCCCGGTGGCCCCTCCAGCTGCCATACTAGGATTGCTGGGAGAATGTTGCGGACCAAGTTTGATCCCGTTGGCCTGAAAGGCAACACATCCACTACTATTATCCTGCACACTAGATTACCAATGCTCAGTTATAAATATAGTCCTGCAATATAACTAACTTTTAACTTTTGAAAAATAGTGAAAACATTTTGTGAGACCATCCCTAATGGAGATTCTAAATATACTCTACTTTTCTTCCTGAAAAAAAAAAAAAAAACAATTGATTCAAGCTCCATGTAAAAACAAAGTTTGAACAGTTCATTAAATGGTGGCCATTACTGGTATTGACTCGAACTATTACAGAATTCACTTAGATGATAATAATAATATCACAATCTACATATTTATAAAACTGTCTTCATGAAATCAAGACATGTCTTCTAATACAGTAATCACTCAAAGATTTCAAAAGCCTCACTTTTTATAACCGTATTGTAAGTTTTCAAGATCAGCCGGTTATAACAAATTACTTCTCGACTCAATCCTAACCAACTTTCCCAAACTTTACAAACATTTTATGTTATTAATAAAACAATTTTCAGGAAAATCATCAATTCATGTTGTTTAAATTTATTGAGCAATCACTGTACTGAAGTATGAATAACACACAACATAACAACTATTTCTATATATATATTGGAAAACAAAACAATCAAGCTTGCAGGAAACAATATAGAATTCTAGGGGAAAAAACAATAGAAATATTAAAATGTTAGTGAGCAGTGCTGCCAAGCATTTGGGAATCCCTGGACTCTAAGGGAGTTATTGTTACAAACTGGAATCAATCACTTACAAAGGTATAAACTGGGGTGTGTTTTAAGTATCAGTAAAGAGAAAACAATGGTAAGAAACTTTTAAATCTTTATCCTAAAATATGCAAAAAACATTTATAAAATCAAGACCAGCATCAAGCAGTAGTTCCAGAAAAATGGCTTACCATCCCATTGAGCAATTTCTCTGTAATTTCCAAGTTCATTGCAAACAGTAAAACCGGAATTGCGTGGGGGAAGGGAGGGGTGAAGGTTTGGGTTGTGATTGGGGGGAGGGGGGGGGGGTGTAGATTGA